GGGCTGATATGGGGTGAGAAAGCAGCAAATGCAAGAGAGGAAGCAGGAAGTGATATCATTCAATGTATGAGATTCACTCCCACTAATTCTCAAGTTACGGATTGAATGGGCAGGCTGCAAGGCATTCGTAGCTTGAGGACTTTCTATATCTAGCAAATTCTGCTGGTGATGAGCAGATAGTCATTATCAAACTAATATGTCACAATTTTTTCTTTCCTCCTTCCCGTCTAAAACATATTTGCCTACAAAAAATTAGACAAATGCTTTGTAGTCAAGTTAAACAGTCAATTGCTCACCTGGATTTAAAATGGGTCATTAGAAATGAAATTCAAACCTTCCCTACACTTATCACTTGGGGCCTTGTGTGCATTTTCTTGTGTGCGATAAGGGTGGAATGTTTCCTGAAGCACCATCCACACTCGGAACATTCAAATGGTTTCTCACCTGTGTGTATAAGCATATGATTTAGAACGCTAGCTTTAATACTGAAATCTTTCCCACAATCTGGACACTTGTATGGTTTCTCTCCTGTGTGAGTTCTCTGGTGTGTCACTAGGCTGGAACGCTGACGGAAACTTTTCCCGCAATCACAACATTCAAAGGGCTTCTCTCCTGTGTGAGTCCTCTGGTGTATCACCAGGCTGGAATGCAAACTGAAGCTTTTCCCACAGTCAGGACATTCAAAGGGTTTCTCTCCTGTGTGAGTTCTCTGGTGTGTCACCAGGCTGGAACTCCGACTAAAACTTTTCCTGCAATCAGGACATTCAAAGGGTTTCTCTCCTGTGTGAGTCCTCTGGTGTCTCACCAGGCTAGAACTCTGACTGAAACTTTTCCCACAATCAGGACATTCAAAGGGCTTCTCTCCTGTGTGAGTCCGCTGATGTGTCACCAGGCTGGAATTATCACAGAAACGTTTCCCGCAATCAGGACATTGAAAGGGTTTCTCTCCTGTGTGAGTCCTCTGGTGTATCACCAGGCTGGAATTCCAACTGAAGCTTTTACCACAATAAGGACATTCAAAGGGCTTCTCTTCTGTGTGAGTCCTCTGGTGTGTCACCAGGCTGGAATTCTCACAGAAACTTTCCCCACCATCAGGATATTGAAAGGGTTTCTCTCCTGTGTGAATCCGCTGGTGTTTCACCAGGTTGGAACTCTGACTGAAACTTTTCCCACAATCAGGACATTCAAAGGGTTTCTCTCCTGTGTGAGTCCTCTGGTGTCTCACCAGGCTGAAATTATCATAGAAACTTTTCTCGCAGTCAAGACATTGAAAGGGTTTCTCTCCTGTGTGTGTCCTCTGGTGTGCCACCAGGTTGGAATTCTGACTGAAACTTTTCCCACAATCAGGACATTCAAAGGGTTTCTCTCCTGTGTGAATCCTCTGGTGTCTCACCAGGCTGAAATTATCATAGAAACCTTTCCCGCAATAAGGACATTCAAAGGGTTTCTCTCCTGTGTGAGTCCTCTGGTGTGTAACCAGGCTGAAATTCCAACTGAAGCTTTTCCCACAATCAGGACATTCAAAGGGCTTTTCTCCTGTGTGTGTCCTCTGGTGTTTCACCAGGTTGGAACTCTGACTGAAACTTTTCCCACAATCAGGACATTCAAAGGGTTTCTCTCCTGTGTGAGTCCTCTGGTGTGTCACCAGCCTGGAATTATCACAGAAACATTTCCCACAATCAGGACATTCAAACCGTTTCTCCTTGATGTGAGTCCATGTTGCCCTGCTTGCTAAAGCATTTACTGCATTGGGAGCACTTCTAGCGTTTCTCTCCTGTGTGGTTCCTTCCATGAAACAAAATGGAGTTCTGATCAAAGGTTTTGCCAAATTCAGAGTATATTTAAGGCTTTTCTCCAGTCTGGATCCTCTCATGAATAATCAGCTGTGATTTGCAAGTTGTATCTTTCCCACAACTGGCACATCTATGGAGCTTTTTCACAACTAATATTCTTGAGGTCAAAAATCTGGATGATCCCTTGTTTAGTGATTCTTTGATTTACTGGTGATTTTCTTCCTTCCAGAATGAAGCCCGCAACACTGTCTGCTCTACATGGCTTTCCAGTTGACCTTTTCTTCTCCACTGACTTTTTCACTTCCCTCTATTGCTAAATGGAAACATAATCTCCGTTGCTTCTACTTTTCATGTAATGTATGCTTGAATTTCACCCTCTATCTTTCCCAGCTAGGAATCTCTTCTTCATTTTCTCTCATTTCTCTCTCACCAGCTAAGGAAAGTGAAGAATTGTGTGGAAATTCTGAAGGAAATGGAAAATATTTTTATTTCTGGACTGACTTGCTGTGCTATTCAGTGTTGCTTGTTATTCTCTGTTGTCCAGAATGCTCTTATTGCCATCCTCTTTGTCTATAAGATTGAAATAAAAGAGTATCTTTAATGGTTGCAGAAGAGGAGAAAAAAAGAAAAATATTACATTTACATTACAATGAAAGATGATGAAATTAAGTTGTTGACTGGGTCAATCACAAATTCTTAGCAGTGCAAATGATTGTTTTCAAATACAGTCAAGTGAAAAAGAAAGTACACTCTCTTTCATTTCTATGGTTTTAGGATGCAAGAACCAGAGTAGGGTTTGGGTTACCTTATTGGGAAATAGATTATCAGGCCACAGTATTAACCTGGATGAAAGAATGGATAACACTGAGAAATAGAAGGTTGTTAATGCTAGAGGGACATGATTTACAACTGGGCTGGCATGCATTTCTATGGTGTGGGAGAAGGAAAAGACATAGGTATTTTCAAAGACATATGGTCTGGAATGCATTGTTATTAGCATGGGAAAAAACTAGAGAACATTACATGAAGATTCCAGTCTGGCTTTCCACACTGGAAGCACTCATACACCCAAATGTTTGTAAAATGGGAACTATTGCTCTCTGAAATGAAAAGGGTGAGCTCAAAACTAAACAAGAATTGAATGAACAAGGGTTGTAAATGCATTGGTATTCATATATGCAAATAAAATCAAGATATGAAAAAGATATTAAAGCTGAAGGGATTCATAAGTAGTTGACAGAATTGAATAAAATACTAACAGGAACAGAAAATAGGTTGATTAAAAGATTACATTGCTATTTACTAGGTGTTAAAACTAGAAAAAGAACAAATTAAAAAAATGATAGCATGGGCAAAAATGTTTTGATATGCTATAGAATTAGATAAATGGCAGAAGCTACGGGATACGAACTATAAATTAACAATATCGGCAGCATAGAAAGAATACTAAGATGTTTTATAGATGGCACTTTGCACCAGCAAAATTAGCTAAGATGTTGAAAGATAATTCAGCTAAATTTGGTGGAAGTGCCACCAGACATCTAGAATGTATTACTGTTAGGAATCTGTCCACCAATTAGTTGGGTTGGCAATATGTAAACTAACAATGTATGTTTGTAGCTTTAAGACAAAATCACTGTATTGATTTACACTATATTCCAATTGGTTGATTATATTGCAAATTACCATAAGAGAGAGCTAGAGATCATAGCTTGCTCTCTCTGACATTCTGTTGCTATCTAAGGTTCTCTGTTGTATTTATGCTGTACTTATACTTTGATATTTTTGTTTACTGTAAATGACAAAGGCAACCGGTAAGAAGACTTTGTAATTGGATATTCTTTGGACTGTAAAATGCATATGATCTGGACCATTTATTGGACTGTGCTATTTCTTAAAGTAAGCTTTAACTCAATTTAGTGTATCTGTGTGTGGCTGAATTCATAACTACTCTCATAAAACGTTTCCATGTGCATATCCTTGTTACTTAAGGGTTATTCTGTACATATCGTAACAATTACCATAAGTGGTGGTCTTGTATAGAAGCTAAAAGATACTGGACAAAAATACGGATATGGTTGGAAAACATGATAAAACAACACACAGATTTGAAACCTGAAATATTTTTATTAGGAATGGTACCTGAAGATTACAGTAAAAAAAAACATATTTAATTATACATGTATTAACAGCAGCCAGAACTGTATTTGCTCAGAATTGGAAAAGTGATAAGTTACCAATAGAGGGAAAAGTAATATTTGAATGTGCAGAGATGAATAGGTTAACATTGGTAATTAAAGAAAACGAAGAAATGGAATATTATATGGTATGGGATTTATTTTATCAATGGTTGATAAATAAAATAAATTAAAATGGACCTGATGAATATATAGAGCAATAAGTTAAGATTGTTTAAAAATAATATAGTAAATAATAGCTATTAAAAATGTGATTGTTATATTTGTAAGAAAAGTATTCATTATAATTGTAAGCACAAGATATATGTAACCAGTCAACACAGGTTTGAAATGAAAAATGGACCCTTTGGGGGTGTGGAGAGCCTGGAGAGCTGTGCAATAGAGGGGAAACCTGGACGACAGCGAGGTAAAAGGCAATCACTCGCCGCCACGAAAGGAAACTCCTCAAACCCAAAGTGAAAGTGCCTGTCATACAAGTATGGCAAACCTGAGGTTTGTGTTGTTATACCCGATCGAAAATCCCAGAGGCACAATGGTGGTGATTTGCCATAAAAATGAGTCCTAGATATTTATTGAAAAAGGAAGCTCCGGTGGGGGGGAATCCCCAAAGAACTGGCAGTGATTTGGCAGAACGAGCAGTGAAATCAGCAAACTAACACAGATGGAAAAGACTGAGAAAAGAGAGGACACAGAACTTTTGAGTGAAGGAATTCAGGGGGAGGCAAGGAAAGATAAGCGGGCATGCAGAGGAGAAATTGGAAGGAAGGAAGAGGATCGGAAGGAGGAAACCGGAGATCCTGGGCAGTGAAACGAAAAGGAAAGAAACAGTGGGAACGACAAGGTGGCAAAAAAGAAGTGACCAGACGGACATCGGATAGAAGAAGATTGGAAGAAGAAACTGGGGATCCAGTTTGAAGGCAAGAAGAACAAGAGTGACAGAAGGAACAGAAAGTAGCAGAAGGAAAGTGGAAAGTTAAGCTGGAACTTGAAGGAGAATATCTGAAATAACAGAACTAAATTGAAGGACAGTTTTTGATGGTGCTGACAGTGAATAATTAAGTAAGACTATTGGACTATCTATTAAGTTTAAACTAAAAGAAGTTAAGAGATTTTGGAAAAATACATATATACTTACTATATGCTTATTACAATCATAAAAGCTATATATTAATTACATATATCTCCAGATACAGATATATATTTATATTTAAATATCTATATTATTTTTATATTTGTACATATTTAAGCTTTTATCTGTGATTATATTCTAATAGAGATATTGATTAATTAGATTACTTGATAGGATTGCAATAGAAAAACTGTTGAATTATTACTTTATTTACTGAATACAGGCATGATATTCCCCTCTGAAAAAAAAATCGGGGCCGGCCAAAAGAGACCCCCCCACCGCGTGCCAAGAAATCGCCCGCCCGCCCGCCCGCCGCTCACCCCGCCTGCCACTTGCCAAGAAATCGCCCGCCCGCCCACCGCTCGCCCCGTCCACCGCTCGCCAAGAAATCGCCCGCCCATCGCTCGCCAAGAAATCGCCCGCCCTCCGCTCGCCAAGAAATCGCCCGCCCGCCCCGCCCGGGCGATTCCCAAAAAAATCGGAATTCCGATTTTAATCGGAAAAATATCATGTCTGTGAATTATTAATGAATTATTACTTAAGATAATTACTTAATAGAATTAAATAATAATACTTAATATGTAGATTAAAAGGAATTAAGAAATATATTATATATTATATATAAGAGCTTTTTGAGGAAGTTGGAGTGAGAAGCAAATATTTATAGTATTGGTACGTTTTGTGATAAGTAGAGATATATTGAAACTGAAGGTTTATGTATTTAAATAATAAGGAGAACCTAAGAGGTTGGGTTAAGTTAATGTACGAAAGAAGACAGTCAAAATGAAAAGTAGAATGATTAGTAGGGAAAAGAGACCAATATAAGCTAACTCTTAAATAAAATACAAAGTGGATGGTAGTGTGGGCAGAAGTAAACAGAAGCCTTAGGAACATGACAAGTGTCATAACAACAATTTTGAAAACATCAAAGAAGACAACATCTAATCTATCATTGACAGTTTCATCCCCAGCTGGCCAAAAGATGATTGAAGGAATGTTGGGTGCGGAAAAACAAAGCATAACATCTAATATACAAACAATGCAAACAACACTTTTGGTGATTCAAGAAACCATGATGAGGATGCAGGAAAACATGTCAAAAAAATCATGTGGAAATGAAAGGGGACATTAATAAATTAGATGCTAAAGTAGACATGATACAACAAGCCATTGATAAGAGGTGGTGGAAATTAGCTCAGAACAAAATGAGAAGAAATTGGAATTAGTGGACAAAAATGACAATGAACAAGGAATTAGAGGAACAAATTATTCATTTGGAGATGGATCATGCAGCATTCCACTTGAGGTTCCAGAATGTTATGGAAAGCAAAGAGGAAGATCTGGGTATCATCATGGCAAAACTAATTGCACAAGCACTACAGAGAGATAGACAAGAGATCCTGCTAGAAATAGATTAAGTCTACAGAATTCATACCAGTTACGCAAGACATAATAGATTACCAAAAGAAGTCTATCTTAGATTTGCTAGAAAAAAAGTTAGGGACATAATATATAAGATAACAAGAGATGACCCCCTGATATATAAAGACAAAGAGATAGAAACCCTAAAACAGATCCCAAAGAAAGTAAGAGAACAGAGAAGAGATTATAAATTCCTTGCAACACAATTGATCAAGAGAAACATAATGTTTAGGTGGCTAATTCGGAGGGGTTGTTGGTATCATGGCAGGAGAAGTGGATTAGGATAGACAATCTGGATAAGGCACAAGATTTGTATGACCAAGTTGTGGGAGTGGAAGAAGAAAGCAGCAGCAAGGAATAATTGGAGACCGGAAGCCAGGAGGATCAACAACAGGAGGTAGAAGAAATAGAACAAGAAGGAGGAAGTAAAGAAGAAACTAAATAAGGGGAGAAAGAAGGAATAAGATTAAGAACACACCCACAAAGGGACATAAGAATTAATAGAAGACAATTACCAAGTTGCAAGTAGGACAATGGAAGGAGAAATTAGGTTAATATCGTTAAACATTAATGGATTAAATTCATCCACCAAAAGAAAACAAATATTAACAAGATTGGTAAAACAAAAAGTAGAAATAGTATGCTTACAATAAGTACACATTAAAGAATATAGGAAATGTTTATAGAGTACCCAAAATTAGGAAGATAATATACAGCCCTGGCAGAACAGAGAGGAATAGCAGTATATATCAAAGAAGGAATCAAAGCAGTAAAAAGATATGCTGATACAAATGGAAGAGTTTTGATGATTGAATTAGAGA